ATTATTATTTATTTAAGTCTTTATAAGCACTAAAAAGTGCTGACTCAATAATTTATTATAAATAATAATTTATTATAAATAATAATTCATAATATAATAAAAAATATAATAAGAAATATTATTATAAATATAATAATTTCTTTATTATTATTTATTTAAGTCTTTATAAGCACTAAAAAGTGCTGACTCAGCAGCACATTGTGGTCTCTATTACAGTCATTTATCTAAATGTGTAATATTCTGTATTTGTGACATATTTCACATCCCTTTAGCTGAGTCTTTGTCATTCTTCTGATCCTCTTTCCGGTCCACTTTCACACGGTTCTGGCTCTAATGGAGGTTTTCTCCTGTTCAAAGGGAGTTTTTTCCTCCCACAGTCTCCTCCTACACGCTCAGGACCAGAACGGGATCCGAGAGAAGCTAGAAAACTTTATTAATCGGCTCGAAGTGAACGATTATTTTCGGAATCTAATTTATCTAATTAATCTGATTCATTCATTTAATTTCGTTTATTTTGAAACATGATATGATTTTACAATGTTTACATAGAATGCTTCCTAAACATGCATCATGTTTCAAAAAGGAGCAGGATGAAGCATATTAAGCTTATCAAGCCCCACCCCTCAGTTACATGAGTCGTGGTGGTAAAGGACAATTATTTACAGTAAGACAAACAGTATAACTTTTTATGTATTATTCTTTTTTGTATTCATCAAAAATACTTTTCTTATATTGTTTTTTGAATTGCTGGATGCTTTTACATTGTTTAATATTTTCAGCCAAGCTGTTCCAGAGCTTCACTCCACTAACTGATAAACTAAAACTTATTTTTGTTGTTTCGAACACACTTAGTTTTGAAATTTAATTTTCCTCTTAGATTATATTTTCCATCTCTATCTGTAAACAATTGTTATATGTTTGCAGGAAGTAATTTATTTCTTGCTTTATAAAGAATTTGAGCAGTTTTGAAATCGATCAGGTCTACAAATTTGAGAACTGGGAAATAGAGTTAAACTGGACTGGTTTTCTCTCACATCTAAGCAGAAGAAGCCAGAGGGGGTAAATACTTTTCCAAGAACCTGAGTTAAGGCTAAAAACTCTTCTCCATGTTTAGGACGGATAAATGCCACTGCACACAGACACACAGAGTGGAAGCAGGTTATTCCGTTAACACAGTGGGACACGAAAAAGGCCAGAATTAGTCGGCAGGGGATTTTCCAAACACTATCAGCCTCTGGGGTCTCCTCAGAGGCCAGATCAGGGGAGATATCGGACATATTTTTTAAGCTTTTTCCACTTTAGAGTGAGGTAGTGATGTGAGACTCATCAGGATTATCCTCCATAAAA